CTAAGTAGTATTTAAAAATGTGTTAAATAAAATATTGTAATTAATACATGCTAACTCATTTTCCTAGTCTAGACTCAGCCATTGTACAAATGCAACTGAGAGCAGAATTTGACCCAAAGTTCTTCAACGGTATGGATATTTCTGTACTATGGAGACTATATTGGTATAGCTATTCTCAGTAGCTGTATTGGCATAACCCTATAGGATTCAATGAAAGAGGTTTTTCACTGGCATAAGAACATCACCTCTCTGAATGGTGGCAGTTATTTAAACAGAATTTTTTTCCATTGACATAGCTGCATCTATACTGGTGCTTAAGTCTGTATTAGCTAGGTGGATTTTTCATCCATCTGACAGATGTAGCTAGATTGACCAAAGATACGTAAGGCCAAGAGTACACTTAAAAAGTTTTGCTGGTGTAGCTATATGCTAAAAAAAAGTATTTTTGCTGCCATTACTTAACAATTCAACATGAGAAATACACTGTACCAGCAAAAGCACTTTTATGCCTGGTCTACATTAGACCAGTCAGGTTGGTTTAAGATACACAACTCCAGCTACACAAAATACATAGCTGGAGTCGGCTTACCTTAAGTCTAGCCATGGCAGCATCCACATTGCAGGAAGCTGACAGGAGCACGTGCTCCCATCCTATCCTTTTACTCCCCACAGAACTAGGAGTATCAGACACTGATGGGCTTTGCCTTCAGCATTCAATTTATGGGTCTACATTAGACCCACTAAATCGAATGCTAGAAATCAACCTCTGGATCTTTTGCTACCAATTGTTTTGCCTCAATGTTACAGGTTCTTTCCAGATCTTGAAAGAACAAGAAATGTCGCATTAAATTTGAAATGGGGAATTCCCCCCATTCAAATGCATTTCACGCTTTAACTATTTTCTTAAGGTCAGTATGTGTAATTATTCTCTTTTTAAAGACTTTTTTTCATTATTTCTCTTAAGGTAGTGCATGATACTCCTTTTGCACCACACTCCAGCAGGCAAACACCTTGCAGCTGAGAGGCTAGGGCATTCCAGCATTTGTGCAGCTTCTGCTTATGCCACATCATGAATTAACTGTCAGCAGGTGTTAGATATCTGCACATGAACAGAAACCTCCCAGGGGGAAGCTCTTTCATCACATCTCTATAGTCTCACAGTCTCTATCAGCCTACAAAGCACAAACCATATTTGATCTTGAACTCAGCTCTCTGCAGGATGGGCATATTGTAGCACTGTAGCATAAGGTGGTTAGCTCTGTGCATTGGTGTGATACCTAACTTGGTTTTGA